ATTTATGTGTTTTAAATTTAGTTTTATACTTAATATTGATTTTTTTTGTTGAACTCTTTTAAATATGCGTACTTATTTGTTATTTACATATAGTTTTGAATTAAAAATATATAATAACTATAGTAAGAAAGAAAAATGATTATTATAAAGTGTCCGAAGAGTGTCGGTTTTGACACGCGTTCGACACGTGTCGGACACGGACACGCTACCCTAGTTAGAGTGTCCATGCTATAGAGAATTTTCCCTTCATATATCAACAAGTGTGTTATTTAGTTTACATCCAAGTATGCCTGTTTCTCTTAGGATATCATGAATATACTTTCGTTGTGAAACACTGATACTCCTTTTTGATATTACCACTTTCATTCTTAAGAAATACCATACTTGTCTCAGGTCTTTCACTTCAAATTCCGTTGCTAGACTCTTGAGTCTTTTCATCTCACTTATTTCAGTTCCTCCACTTCTCTCTCCATGGCTTCCACCTTGATTTGTTTTCTTTTGAGCCATCAGGACCTAATGTACTCTGATATTACTTTGTTAAGACTCTCTGCAATTGAAGAAAAGAGAAAACTAGGAAATGAAGATTTGATTGATTTAATGAAACTGATGAACGTTACAAATAGTAAAAGAAACTATTAGCCTTTTGAGGGGGCTAAACTCTCCTACAAAATATCACTCCTCAGTCCTCACTATATTTTTCCTCCCCCGGATCTCCCTCGGGCACCCCTTTTATTTCCTTCTTCTAACTAACTTCCCGCCCCTGTACAGAAATTGGTTTCTCCATAACAGACCCCTAGCTGCCCTTAACTGCTGCCAGTTCGTCCACCCTGCTTCTTAGCCGTTTTAGAATGTGTATATTTGACCGGGGGTCTATCACTTTTTAACTTTGTTTCTTGAAATTATCATAGTAGAACGAAATATTTTGAAGCTAATATGAGATCAAAATAATGGGAAGTTGTTAATTTTTGCAGTGTTATTTATATTGGTAGTTTTGGTGGTGACATTTCTCTCTCTCTCTCTCTATAGATATATATATATATATATAAGTATCAACTTCAATGTCAATCTCTCTCCCTTGCCATGTAGTTCAAAGAGTTTTCTTTCGAATCAAACTTAATAAACAAATATTGAAGAGGACTTAATAAAAGAATATCAAAGAGGGCGTATTTTGGTGGAAATGTCTGCATAGTGAGAGGGCATGATTGTGATTGATGGATGAAGTGCTGGTGGTAAGGATTAGAGATGTGGGTGATGATGTTGATAAGAGTAGAGTAGGGTTGTGAAAGTAGGGGGCTTGTAACATGTTTCCTGTGGCAATCGAGGCTGGTGGTGGCAGTGGTGGGGGTTAGCTTGACATAGATGAGTGATTCAAGATGGGTAAAGGTGAAACTGATAGCGCAGAAAGAAGGTGGTTTGGGGTTGGGGGAGAAAGGGAGGCAGAAAGGGCCAATTGATGAGGGGGAAGCAAGGAAAACAAATACTATGTAATCAACCTTATTTTTGTCCCAGGTTTGGGGTTGGGGGACAAAGGGAGGAGGAGAGGGCCAACTGACGATGGGAAGTGAGGAAAAAAAATACTTTGTAAACAACCTTATTTTTGTCCCAGGTTTGGGGTTGGGGGACAAAGGGAGGAGGAGAGGGCCAACTGACGATGGGAAGTGAGGAAAAAAATACTTTGTAAACAACCTTATTTTGTACCAATATTATTGTTGCACAAGTACAATTTAAAGTGAACTTTGAGATTTTTTATGATGATGTTATATGTTAATTTTTTTAATTATACTACTCACCCATCTTAGCAATTAAACTCTTTTATAAATTCGAAACAAAAATTGCATTAGATTACTATTTTGCTACAAATATTGCCAATTTGACTTCCCACTATTCTATATATGACAATTAAGAATACAATGGGAGTGCATTTTTCAACGTGGGTAGTAAAGTGTTCTAATGGTCTATCTATCATTACCATCACTAGTTTGTGCTTGGTTCTACCCCTGAAGGTGATCGAGGCAAATTTGTGGTGGAACTTCCTTGTTTTATTTGTTCATTATTCGAATTGTTATAAAACCTATCATTGCCTATGTTTAGTTGGGTTGAAAAGTGGAAAGAAATTTGCAGTGGGAGTAAAAGTTATACATCATCTTGTTCTGTTGCAATAAAGAGAGGGTTTTGGTGGATAAAATGCATAAAAAATTGGCGGAAAGGAGGATGTAAAACTCTAGGATGGCTACCAACAGTAATTAAAATATGAAATTAGGAAAATAATAATATAACTCTAAAGTAGTGAATTACATTTCGATACCATAGAAATGTTAACCAGAAGATTTAGGATGAAGTATTCAAAACTGCATAAAAGAGATATCGACTAGTTTGTTCTCTTCACACACATTTGTTTCTTGTTGCGCTTCTACCCATCATTATCCACATTGAAATCACTGTAGAAGGCTGTAAGGATACTCCAATAAATTGCTGAGCTTCTACTAATCTGTTTACACAATTAAATCGATGTGGAAGGCTGTAATAGTGGCAGATTTAATATCAGAAATGAAGGAAGACTGCTACATATGGTGATGAACATCGATATTTGGACCTGTCAAGTGCTTCTTGGATGGGGTAGTTCTTTCATGTCTGAACATTTTTTATCTCATTAACCTGATTCTCTAAATATTGGACCTTCCACCGTCAAAGTATTATATTTGTTCCTTTGTTGGCAGAATCTTTTGCATAATATTGATTTCACTCCTTATGCAGGCCTACTGGTGCAGATGTAGAAAAGAGTAGTGTCACTGAGAAAGATCTGGAACACCTGTTACATCTTCTGGATGGGAAAGATGGTGAGTTGGTTTGGCAAAGTATGATGGAGCGCTCCACATCAAACATGACATACCAAGCTTGGCGTCATGAGCCGGAGGTAATGAGGTGGCTGTTGATATCAAATGTGTTCATTACAGGAAAAGTATCTTGCATCCTCAAAGCTTGTTAAATGGAAACAGTATACATAGACAATTTTATTTGCTGATGCAAGATAGTTCCTGTTGGTCACCTGCCTTCTTTTATTTTTGTTTTTGCCTTTTATCCTTGTTGCTTGTATGTTAAATATCATCTTATGAAAGATGTTGTATAAATACTGTCAGTTGAATCAAGCTTTCTGCTCAAGCATCTAATTTAGAAGCATATTAAGGAAAATGAACTTTTTAAGATTTCTAGAGAATCTTCCTCGGTATCTTAATCCAGAAGAAAAGAGTAGAAGTTTCTTTCTTCCAGTTATGCCACCTATCGAATATGCAATTATTCACTTCATAGACCATTTTGTTTATTAGGTGGGTCCAATAATGTACCGCAGCAAAACCATTTTTGAGGATGCAACTCCCGAGCTGGTCAGAGATTTTTTCTGGGATGATGAGTTTCGGCCTAAATGGGATCCTATGCTTGCTTACTTCAAAATATTAGAAGAATGCCCTCATACAGGAACCCTGGTAGTCCAGTGGATTAAAAAGGTTTGTGAAATAGAAGCTGCAATCACTAGCAACAACAGTTTCCTAATTGATGATATCTTGACTATTCCTGCCTATGCAGTTCCCTTTCTTCTGCAGTGATCGAGAGTATATCATTGGTAGAAGAATATGGGAAGCAGGAAGAAATTATTATTGTGTGACTAAGGTATGATCCTAAGAATTGAATAGGACAAATAGTCAGTCTATATATTTGTTGTCTTTTCAATCTTAAGAAGTTGAGGCCTTTTCAGTCTCTCATTTGGTGTTTTCTTTCAAGTTTTTCCTTTTTTTAGATAAGTCTAAGTTTGTTCAGTTCCTCTCATCTGTCTCCATTTGCACTTGTGACTCAAGACATTTTGCCATTTAGTCTACAGTTCAACTTCATGGTCAATATGAAGGGAATGCATCTTAATATTCAAAATGCATCTGCAGGGGGTACCATATCCAACTTTGCCGAGGCGTGACAAACCTAGGCGTGTGGATCTTTATTTCTCGAGCTGGATTATAAAGCCTGGTAATAATTCTGATAATGTGGTTGCTTACCTGAATTTAATCTTTGATTTTCATAGCCATCATATTACTTTCACTAAATAAATGCAGTGCAATCGCGTAAAGGAGATGGCCAGTTATCTGCATGTGAGGTCACACTAATTCACTACGAAGACATGGGAATTCCGAAGGATGTTGCCAAGTTGGGTGTTAGACATGGAATGTGGGGAACTGTTAAAAAGTTGCATGGTGGCTTCAGAGCATATCAAAATGCTAGAAAATCTGAGGCATCATTGTCCAGGTGTGCTTTGATGGCAAGAATCACTACAAAATTTTCGTCCATTGAAGGAAATAATCCTCTAGAGCCCGGAGCAGGCGAGGAAGAGAGAGAGGAAGTTGTGGTGACTGAGAGACAAGGGGATTGTGGTGGAATTGACTGGAGATGGATGGCTGTTGGTGGAGCGGTTGCCCTTGTTTGGGGACTCAAAATAGGACTGGTAGGAAAAGCTCTGTTATTTGGAGCAGGGCAAAGAGTTGCTCAGAGACGGGGTAATTTTCGATGAAGATTTATTCAATACGGTGCATCGAGTTCTAGAAACGAAGATATATCCTTATTTATGATGCTTGAATTTGTCGAGTTGTATCCCTTGTGTGTGTTCAGTGCTATATTTGCCTGGCTTCTGAGTTTTGTTGAATGTCAAATGTTCTTGAACTGTAGCTTAAATTCTTTACTCATTCCATAAGGGAGTTGCCACGATGAACTCGTAAGCTATAGAAGAGCGTTCACTATATGAGATTTGTTTTGTTTACTGTAAACGAGTTTTCCAGTACTCACTCTCCTATTGTTTTGTTACTGTAAACGAGTTTTCTGGTTGTCCAGTCATTAATAATTTTAAATTTTAAATTATTATATATGGAATTAGTGGTTGTAAAAGTTGATTTAATGCCAAGTTATGTGCGACGGTAATTCCCACGAGAGTAAATAGAGTTTGCTTGTCATGCAGTACTTGTTAAATATTCGAGTTTTTCCTTTGCCTGTTGAAAAGTTAAAAAGTATGTTATTTCCCATCATTTTACCCGCCGAGAGGTCTTGGCTAAAATTTTGTTACGTGGGAATTGCTATCCCTCAGAGTTTTAGAGTTCCATTTCAAAACTAAGATGTACAAGTTTTTGATTCAAAAATCAGATGATAATTAAAATTTTAAATATTGATAATTATATTACAATATTAAATATACATAATCATCACATTTGCCACATACCCAACTATCCTGACCAAACTTTAATCATTTTCATTCTCTCAATTTTTTCTCCTCTCTCTATCCCACCTTCTCTCCTCTTTGTAGCTGTAGTTGAAAATTGCTGCCAATGTTACCATCGCTAGCACCTCACCATCTCTACCACACCACACAACCACCACCACACCCACCAAAAAATCCTCAAACCAGTGGACTCTGTGGCCACCACCACTGCTGCAAATCCACCATCTTCACCTCAACCATCAACACCACGCCAAATAGATCAATAGAAGCAAAGAAGATGGGGGATAAAGAAAAAGGATTATCTTGGTGCATGAAGCAGCGGTGCCATGCACACATCGTCGTTGCACATGTCACAGAGACAATGAGGGATGAATCTTCGTTGCAACTGTAACCACTAGACGGTTTTGCTTGTCGTCAATCAGTTGGCTATGATGATCATTGCTCAACATCATTGCTTTGTCGCCAACGGAGGTGTTGTTGACACACTAAAAGTGCAGCCCAAATCAATAGCCCAAAGAGTGAAACCCAATTGGGGAGTACAGGATAAAGGTCCCAACATGATTATTGATGAATGCAGTGGAAACCCACGAACACAGTAACATCATCGCCCAAGCTTGCAGGACACCCAGAATCTGAGCGAATGGAGTGTCTTACGGTCACTCAGAGCGATGACCCCGTTCTCTCCCAAACTTTCGAATCGCCCAAGATCTTAGCAAACATAAAATATTATGGTTATCCAGAATAGCAGTTATTGAGTAATCTTATCACATTCCACGATTCAAGGAGCCCAGTTGAAGGCGGTTAAACGACAAAGAGTAATAACAGCAGTTAGAGACGACAGTTCCACGACAAGTTAGCTACCATAAAGAAAGTGGGTAGTTATAAAGCAATTAAGCAATTTTCAAGCGGTTTGTCACGAGGAAATCATCAAGGGAATATAAAAAGGAAGAGAAGACATAGAGAAAATGTCCCGGAATCAAACACTCTGAAACAGAGAATATGTAATTTTAATTTTTTAGCTTAATTTTAAACACTTCTTTTAGTACTCGTGTGCTTGCGCCCCTTGGAGGCATTTTGTTTATTTCCAATTGTAAATTATCGTCAATAAAATACCTCTTTTTGGGACTTTGTCTCAAGAAGTTTGTTCCTTACACAATCGTCTGATCCCTTTTTTAATTGTTAGTGACTACCCGCGCGAAACAATTTGGCACGCCCAGTGGGACCTTGGTGTTTGGTGTTGAGGATACAAAAAGTGAAACAATATGCCTCACAAATCTGATAAAGAAGCAGCAAGTCAGGGAGGAGTCCAGTCTGTGATCGAGCGATATGAGGAGCAGCAAAGCTCTCCACGGAAGAGGGACAGAGTCAGAGCAGTCACAGTCGTTACGAACCAATGACAGAGTTGAGTCCTCGAACCATGCGTGCATTGCTTGGAGAATTTACACAGGATGTCGTTAAACAGGTAAATCTACGAAATGTTCATAATATGGAAAGATTTACCCAAAATGGGAATGCACATTATGACAACATGGCCAAACAACTGAATACATTAAATGAAATAATGAATAAGTTAGTAGGCCAAATTTGTCGGCCAGTTGTGCCTATTGTAAGTCACTTTCAAGCTAGAACAATTGTAGGACATAATTCCCCAGTCCTAAGTCCAAATCAAGGGATAGAATCACCTTTTGGTCCGTCTACTTCAAATCAGGAGATGGTGTGATACCAAATCAGAATAGTGGTAATGGTACATCTAACTTAGGGGCTAACCTAAATGTAAGAGACAATATCCTAAATAATGGACAGAATACCCTACGTGTTAATGATGAAATAAATATTCAGGCTAATGGTAACAATGACCCAAATCATAGCAACTTTGTTACCAACCAAGGACCAAACATCAGGCCTCAGGCAAATCAACCGATCAACCAACTTGTAGAAATTTCATATGACCCCAACGTCATGTTGAGAAATCAAATTATGGAAATAGTACAGGATCAAATGGCTTTTGGGGTACGTCTTGTCATTAGGCCGACTTGCACAAAGCCATATCCTGATTGGATAGACCAAGTATATCTATAGCCTAGAGGGTATAAAGTGCCAGAATTTTCATTATTTATCGGTCTAGGAGAGATGTCTACTCTAGAACACATAGGGCGATTCACACTGCAAAGTAGTGACGTAACCACCATAAAATGAGGTTGTTCCCTAATTCATTAACAAGAGTAGCTTTCTCCTGATTCATCAATTTGCCAACGAACTCTGTTCAAACATGGCAACAATTGGAGCAATTGTTCCATGCTCAGTTTTATAAGACTGAGTCTGAAGTTACTTTGGCCGATTTGGCGAATCTACGTCAAATGTCAAACGAATGGGCAGAAGGTTTCCTTCAAAGGTTCAAGACAGCAAGAAGTAAATGTTTTGTACCTTTGCCCGAAAAGGAGTTTGTCAAAATCGCTCAAAGTTGTCTAAACTTTGATTTGAAAAAGAAATTCCAAGACAAGGAATTTTCTGATCTTTTCCAATTGAGCGCAAACGTGATTAGTTATGAATGATTAATAAGAGAAGAAGAGCAAATGAAAAATTCTAGCAAGGGGACTTATTATAGAGACCCAAATTTTAATGTTCATACCATTAATGACGAGTATTACGATCAAACCAAAAAGTGTTTGGCCGAATTAATCAAAGGAGACGCGTATACTTGTCCTATAATGGCTAAGCCTAGATCGTCGGGCAAGGATGAGCCTATAAAAGATGAAAATAAAAAGTTAGAACGTTCTCGTTCGATGTAACCAAACCTGACCTTATATTTGATAAACTATATAAGGATAAGCAGATAAAGCCGAGCAATAAACATAAGTTGCCAAGCCCCGAACAAATCAAGGATAAAAAATATTGTAAGTGGCATAATGCATGGTCACATTTGA